CCCGGCCATCGCCGAGGGGCCGAGCCCGGACGGCGCCGCCGAGTGAGTGCGGGGGGCGGCGGCACCGGGGCCTGGCCCGGCCGGGGGGAGCGGTCGCGTGTCCGTCCGTGTGTGTGCCCATGTGTGTCCCTGCCCGTGTGTGTGTGTGTCCCTCTCTGTGTGTGTACCCGTGCCCGCGTGTGCACCCGTGTGTGTGTGTGTGTGTGTGCACACACCCAGGGTCGTGTGTACGCGCCCCCGTGTGTGTGTGCGTGCGCGCGTGGGCCCGTGCATGTTCCTGTGTGGGGGTGGGTGCTCATGTCTGCCCACACAGCTGCATGTGACAGAGTGTGTGTGCACGTGCCTGTGTGCGCCTGTGCACGTGTGTGTGTGGGTGTTCATGTGTGTGCTGGGGTGCCTGCATGTGCATGGGTGCTCCTGTCTGTGCCCACACAGGGGTATTTGCTCATTCATTTGGGTGTGGGTCCATGCGCCCAGGTGTGTTTGCGTGAGTGCTCATGCACATGTGCGGGTGTTTGTGTATGTGCTTGCATGCCCACATGCGTGCCTGGGTGTGTAGGGGTGCTTACATCTGTGATTGTGCTTGTGCAAGTGTCTGTGTTCATGTGTGCACAGGCCTGTGTGTGTGTAGGGGGGTGTTTATGCCAGTGTATGCCTTCATGTGTTTGTGGGTGCTTTTGCCTGTGCATGTGGTAGCATGTGGGTGTGCACATGCGTGTGTGTGTGTGCCAGTGCCTGCTGGGGACACCCCAGGCTGGGGGAGACGTCGCTATGTGCAAAGCTGGGGCCTGCAGGGCGCTGAGGCCTTTCTGTCGGTGCTCATCCTGCTCTTGTGGGCCCACGATGGCCAAGGCCTGGGTGGCTGGTCTCAGGCAGGTCCTCCCCTGTGGTATTAGAGCCCAACCCCCCCTGGGTACAGGGAAGGGTGGTATTTTGGGCAGGGCCTTGAGGGGCCTCAGCAGGCTGTGGGGATTTGCATGGTCTCAGGGAAAGCTCGTCTCATGTTACATGATCCTGGTGCAGAGGGGAGGGGCTGCTGGCATGGAGAACGCCCCCTCCCCAGCCCGGCTCCCCCACAGGCAGCTGCTGTCACGGGGCCGCCTGGTAGGGTTTAACCATGCCCTCTGGTTTCATAGGTTTACCCCAGTGGCAGACAGCAGGAAACGGAGCTGGGGAGGAGATGGGTGTAAGCTGTATCATCATTCATCTCCCCTGTCCCTTGGAGATGCGCCATGGCCTCGTCCTTCCTAAAGTCATTAGCCTGGTTAGCCTGGCTGCCATGTTGGGGGTTCTGCCTTAAGCGCAAACGAGCAGCTTTCATCTGAGCTTCTTTTTCCCCACCAGCGATGCCAGGCAGGTCCAGTGGCAAAGGGTGTGCGGATTCTCTTCTTGGACTCTGCCAGGCCTCCTAGTATCTTGTACAGCTAGTGAACAGCCACGTATCCAGTTCACCCCTCTCTATGGGTGGCAGAGACCAAATGAATCCTCTGGCAGAGGCCTAGCAAGTGCTAAAGCTTTTTTTTCTTCCCCCACCCTTGCTTTTTCATCCCTGTTGCTCTACTAGAGCCAACCTCGTAGACCTCCAGAAGAAACTGGAGGAATTGGAATTAGATGAGCAGCAAAAGAAACGGCTCGAGGCTTTCCTCACCCAGAAAGCCAAGGTTGGGGAGCTGAAG